CTAGGACAGGTGGTGGCCTTATCCGAGTGGTCGCCTTGACAGGTTCTACTGTACACCGTAGGAACACACGACATAAAACAATTATAATGATGGTGCTACGCAGCACTCACCCCATCCCTCAGGCAGTGGTTCGTCTTCCACTGACGCTGGCGTAAAGGTAGCCTGCGCTGCACCGTCGCCTGCTGGTGGTGGCGGTGGTGGTGCTCCAGCTCCACCTGCAGCAGAGACCGGTACAAGAGCACCCGCACTGCCGGCCGCTGCGGCGCTGACACCACCAGGGGCAGCAGATCCCGAAGCAGCGTTGATGGACGGTGGGGCATCGGTCGGAGTACCAGCTGCGCCGGCCCCACCAGCACCAGTGCTGTCGCCGCTGGGAGCAGCTGCATCAGTTCCATCGGCATTGGAGCCGACCTACAGTGCAGGAAACAGGGAACACAACAAAACATGGAGCCCACACGCACACACAGGCACACACGCACGCACACACAACCATACAAACACGTACACACACCCACAAAATCAGTACAAGGATATAGTCTACTCTAGATAAGCCACACACTTGATTCTGGGGATAAACATGCGTAAAAAAAGCTTCCGAGCGCAAAAGCGGGACAAATTGCAAACAGTTGATTGACTGCGCTCCGCTCAAACTTCATCGTAGAGAGTTGGGAGTTGCTCCAGCCATCAGTTGAGACATTCTACAACCTGATGGTCTGTTTCTTGCACAGGGTGAAGAGCTGCCAGAGTTACAGTCGATCTACAGTGTTGCTCAATGAAAACCAGCCGCGTCACTCAAGTACGCGCCGGGCGTTGCGCAGCCCCAGACCTGCGGACACCGGCCGACGAAATGATGCAAGGCGCAAACTTGATTGCCGCGACTGGATTCCATTGAGCAGGACTGTAGCACTCGCATGCATGCATTGTTCCAAATGACGTACCGTAGTCTCTTGTATTAAAGCCTATCTCATATAGAAGCCTGTTTTGAATAGAAGCCTGATTATCAAGATACACTATCGGCACATAAGCCTGGTTTTAGTGCTGACATGCATAGAAACACCTGGCATGAATAGAAGCCTGATGTGAATAAAGGCCTAGCCCTGACATCGGCCTCTACAGGAATATGCCCGGCCTTTTAATACGCGACATTACAGTATTTCGCACGGCTGGATATGCACAATCTAAAACCATCAGTAACAGCAGTACACACACACACAGGTAGTGATAAGCGTGTGACCTTACCGCCACCATGTAGCGCTGGTTTAAGTTAGCCATGGCTGCCTGGCGATTCTGAGACTGCTGCGACTGCCAGTTCTGGAACGAGCGGACGCTCTCCACCGTGGGGCGCTGCCACGTGGTGGTGCGCGTGTTGTGATCCACGTAGTACACACGGCCGCGCGTGTCCATACGCTGCTCCCAACTATCAACACATGTATACACACACAAACACACACCCGTGCACATTAATGCACGCACACACACATACGTGTACTCATACCCATACTCATGCCCATGGCTGAATCGATGATAGTGAACAAGCTACGTGTTAGACATAGCAACGTGTGCTGGGATTACACCATACAACAGCTTGCAAGACTGATGAATTGAGTGAGAATTCGACCGTCACTAATTTTAGCCTGGTCTACAACCTCTACACCACACAGCTGGTTGAATTGGCTTTTTCTGGCCAGTGAATCCCGACATGTACCATGTACCACACATACAAGTACTAGTACCGGCAAGAGTCCACAACCCCCAGAGTGTGCACACATAAATGTCTGTCACGACTCGTTTTCAACATTACGTCATTTTTATGTAGCTGCGCGTGCAGGCCGCGACATCCGCTACATGAAAATGACGTAATGTTGAAAACGAGTCGTGACAAGACCCTATGGCGCGTTGCACACTCTGGTGGTTATGGACTCTTGGTACTGGTACATGTGGGTGACTGCAAGCTCAGCACACACTACTTTACTTGCCGTCAAGGCCAATAAAATAAGCTCAGCCATGGAAGGTACCCCACCCAACCAGAATTTCCCAAAATTAATTCGCTTCAGTAACCCGCAGCCATTCCAGAAGCCTCCCAGAGACACCCACAGACACATGCACACACGAAAGCATGCAAGCGCACAGACACATAGACACATACACACACGTGCACGCACACAGCCGCAGCAGGCCTACAAGTGACATACCCAGTGGGCAAAGGTAGTGGTCTGGTCCATGTGGTGGTCCTGGACGCATGATCCACAAAGTATGTTCTACCCTGCGGATCACGACGCTCTTCCCAGCTGAACAAAACCATGGCAACACAACACATACATACCACACACACACACGGTTACAGGTGAGCTTCAGTGAAGATAATATATTACTGGGGACTACATTGCACTAGTATTTAGTACAACCCCAGACCTGCCAACACTGGGATAGTGAGCTGATGCAGGGAGCAAGCTTGACCCAGGCGATAGGATTGTATTAGCAGTACTGTACAATACATAGTTCACAGACTGGGAAGGAAGTGAGGAGGGAGAGAGAGAGAGAGAGAGAGAGAGAGAGAGAGAGAGAGAGAGAGAGAGAGAGAGAGAGAGAGAGAGAGAGAGAGAGAGAGAGAGAGAGAGAGAGAGAGAGAGAGAGAGAGAGAGAGAGAGAGAGAGAGAGAGAGAGAGAGAGAGAGAGAGAGAGAGAGAGAGAGAGAGAGAGAGAGAGAGAGAGAGAGAGAGAGAGAGAGAGAGAGAGAGAGAGAGAGAGAGAGAGAGAGAGAGAGAGAGAGAGAGAGAGAGAGAGAGAGAGAGAGAGAGAGAGAGAGAGAGAGAGGAGGAGGGGATCGAATATACTCACTTTCCTGGTAGTGGTGGCAGAGCTATGCAGAATCACAAAGAGAGACACAAACACACACAGACACACACATGCACACGCACACAGACACACGTGTATACGTCAATATTATAGATTAGTAGCACACACACACACACACACACATACACACACACACACACACACACATGCACACACACACACACATGCACACACACACACACACACATGCACACACACACACCTGTCCTGTCCTGTAGAGCCACTACCACTAGGGTCACGTGGGCCCCGGAGGGGCAGCAGAGAGAGAGAAAGAGCACGCCACCCGATGGCGCTCCAGATGCGAGACTAGTCGGAACCGGCGAGAGCAGATACACATATGCGGGAACTTGTCCCGTTCTCTGGCCGTTGGTCGGTGGCAGTGCGTTGAACAGCGATGGCGGTTGCGTCCCTGGGTTGAGCGGAAACAACGATTGCAGGTGCCACAGTGAGCATTGCAGCAACTCCGAGCGGTAGTGTCACCGGTGACAACAGCAGCTGGTTCGGTCGGTACTGGGCACGAGGTAGAAGCGGAGCAACGATGCACAGCCAAGCCTCCGCGGCTCCGGAACCAGCGATGACACCGAGGGCACCTCTCTGCTCCGAAATCGGCTTCTGCCGTTCAGCCGTGCACTTGTGCCTAGCGAGGTCACCCTGACGTGCGAAGTGCCGGGCGCATGTGAAACAAGTCACCGGTGCCGGTACGAGGGGATCCGGGGCGTCCGAGGTGTAAGCCAACCTCCAGTCTGGGCGAGAGTCACAAGCCACTCTGTACCAGTCCGCTTCAAGGTCTCGTGAGCGGAGGTCCTTTACAGCGCAGTCTTTCCACCGCCCACGTGGGCCATGGGCCGGGCGACGAGATGGCAGGGTGCCGAACAGCAACTGTTTGGGCAACCGCACATCGTCCATGCGGGCGACATGGCCTAGCCACTCGAGGCGCCGATGCTGAACCTTGGTGACGATGGTTTCAGAGTCACCCCACCACTCAAGCAGCTGGCTGTTGGATATGTGGTCATCCCAGCAACGATGGCGTGTGATGCCCAATATCGACCGCACGCATCGCATGTGGAAAACAGACATGCGACGGAGGTCCTGCTTCAGCGGCGTCCAGCACTCGGACCCATACAGGAGCAGAGACAGGACACAAGCATTAAACACACAGCGTTTAATATGAAGATCTAAGTTCTTGTTCCTGAAAACAGATTGCTGCAGAGCACCACAAGCCCGGGACGCACTTGCCACCCGAGCGCTGATATCCTGCAAAGATCGGCCGCCACAGTGGATGATACACCCCAGGTACTTGAACTCCGGCACACACTCAATGTCCACACAGGCAAGCTGTATGGGCGCCTGGTCCGCAGCCGTGACGCCAGCTCCCGCAACCAAGAACTTGGTTTTGGTCGCGCTCACGGTGAGGCCGAATTCCAAAGCGGTCGAGTTGAACAGGTCCAAGGCAATCACACACACACACACACACACACACACACACACACACACACACACACACACACACACACACACACACACACACACACACACACACACACACACACACACACACACACACACACACACACACACACACACACACACACACACACACACACACACACACACACACACACACACACACACACACACACACACACACACACACACACACACACACACACACACACACACACACACACACACACACACACACACACACACACACAGGGAAAATTCTCACTAAACCAACTACATGCCAGATGATGAACTAACCTTCGCCATTAGTCGCGGCAGCGCCTGCTCTGGGGCCACCAGCCACTGGTGGTCCCACTGGGGCAGTTGTGGCAGCGCGATGAGAAGCAGCCGCGGCAGCTGCACCGGCAGCAGCACTGACCGGTGCAGCTACCACACCTGCTGCTGGCGGCGGTGGTGGTGGTGCCTGAGTAGCGCTAGTGGTGGAGCCACTGCCACCAGCTGAGCTAGCCGATGGAGTGGCCGCAGCTGGAATCAGATTGGCGTCCACCTCCAGGCCGTCAAGCTTAATCTCCAGGTCACCGGCATAGCCAGCCTTCTCGCCCTTCAGCTGCAGCGTCATGGACAGGTTCATCACTGCACCAGTGCAAACACGCATGCACACAGGCACATACACGCGCACACACAGACACAGACACACACACCCATAGAAACAGACACAGGCACAGACACACGTGCACGCACGCACACACACACACACACACACACACACACACACACACACACACACACACACACACACACACACACACACACACACGCATGCACAGAGGAATTGAGAACTGGAAATTCCTGTTGTGGTCTGCTGACAGACAAAAGTGGTAAAAGTAGTGTGTCAACTGTCAAGTAACTTCAAAGCATTCTCAAGAGTCAATCGCCTGCATTACGGCGTTCAGGCAGGGGCGTCGGCAGGTATTTCAGGGTGGAACGGTCAGCCATCTGAGGTATACTCGAGGTGGAGGGGGAAGGGGTCTCTGCTGAAAATTAAGAAAATTTAGAACCCAAGTTAGGGCATTCTAATGATTCACGGGGTACCTGGGGGCAAGTAGTGGTGCGGTCAATACGGTAGTGACCGTAGCGTTTCCAATGCCCCTGTCAGGAGCCATAAAAGTTCGTGTAGCTACAGCCATTTAGAGGGTGGGGTGGGAGAGATAGTCACTGAGTCGCTTACACTTTCCATGATGTGCTCGCAGCAGTGACGCAACGTCCAGGCTGGCCGTGCCCAGCAGGGTGGGAGAACGAATTGCGCTGTGGTTGAACACACGTAACTCCACTGTACTCTTGGTCTCGACAAGCCTGTGAAAACAAGAGCGACATGAACGACACGATGACAACAGTAGTAGCAGCAGCAGTGACAGCAGCAGCAGTGGCAGCAATAGCAGCAGCAACAAAGGACGACAACAGGAGGGACAGAGTGTTAGAGGACCTGATGAAAGATGGAAACTCTGGTATTAGCCATCAAGAGAGCAGATATACACACAGCTACAGCAATAAACACAGCAAGCCACTACATCATATGTAACCACACTATACTATCAAGAGTATGTGTACATAACTCACAACAGTGTACAACTCTAGTCTATGGGGTCTGCGACGGCAGAACTTCACATCACGTCACAGACCCATACACATTATTGGCACCCCGTGCATAACAGCTACAGTGCTGTCCACAGCCCTGCGTTGAGTACATCTCTCTACTGGTTACTCTGCACCGATTGCCAGCGTAAGCTTTTGAACCATGTCACGCGATGTGAAGTTCTACCTTTGCAGCACTGCATAGAGGTTAACTGTACAAGCTCCTGCATATTCTTGGGATTATGTACACTTGATAGAGATATAGCAGCAAGAAAGTATGCCATGATTACATGATAGATGATATCTCCAGTAGACTCTCACACATCAACAATCACCCATGACGATCAACACCACGCAAACGCCGTGCTAATACTTCTAAATGGGTATCACGTTTGTCTGTATGCGTGTGTACGTGTGTGCATGCGTGTGTGTCTGTCTGTGTGTGCGTGTGTGTGTCCCTTGAGTTCGTGGGGGACGGTTTGGAGTTTTTTCGCTCTTCAATTTTCTGAAGTTTGCTGGCTCTTGAAAGCGCCAAGGGGTGGCCTTTGGCCATCCCAGTTGGCTAGAGTGTCAGAACATCTCCTGGAAACTCAGGCGTCATGTCCGGGGCAGAGATTGATACTGCCACTTGTCGCCTGACAAGAGTTGCCACTCGTCGCGGTGTGACGAGCCCGCGAGTGGGTACTGACAAGAAATCTGTCCATAGAAGAGTGGAGAGGGAGAGAGAGAGTCTTCAGCTGGCTTCCTGGAATGTTCGCTCTCTGCTGAACGCATCTGGCCCGATGGAGACGGCTTTCGCTCGCCAAGAGAGAGAGAGAGTGTGTGTGTGTGTATGAATGTGTGTCTGTGGCAACGGCAGTGGTGCCGTGCCGGTCATGGGAGGGGGGATAAGAAATTAGTTTGAGCTGCTGCCCGTCTTACACATTGAAGTTTTCATCCCAGGCCGGTGTCCAAGTTTTCTTTTTCACATCGGTCTTTCTGCCTGGCTGGCCATCCACGCGCACTTCGGTGTAGGAGTCAGCCTTGCCACCACCTGCAAACACATCACACACCGGTGTAAACGATAACAGATCTTCTTCCTAAGTCAACTTTCCTGAGGTCTCCCTTAGTGTAGAAAAATCTACAAATCGTCAGCATCACATGCACAGCTCAGATGAGGCACATTCTTACACAACTGTTGTCTTAGAGGAAAATAATGCAATGCAACTCCAGAAAAGGGTAAGCTTCAGGTTCCGCACAATCAACATTTTCAAAGCTCTTCCACGAGTACTTGCATTGCCTTATCATCAGGTGGAATACAGGCAAAAAAACTGACAAAAACAATGAATAACAGCAGCGCAAAAAAAGGAGAGTAGACAAAAACAACACGGTGAAAGGCATGACTTCAAACATAAAAGAAGGACAAGGAAAGACAAAAGGTGCAAGTATAAAGAAATCAAACAAGAGTGCGGTGTACTGCAATGTAGTGCGATGTACTGCAATGTACTACGGTGTACTCTTCTTTGTGCTGTTGGTATCACATATCACCACTGTACAAAATCCATTGTA